TTAAATTTTGATAGTCTGGTGAACTTGGCCTGAGTGTGAAAAGCATCTTTAAGGCCAATACTCGGTTTCCATATGGCAAGTATGTGCAGATTACTCAAACTCATAACGAGATGCTCTGTATTGAATAAGGATGCCTAGCGTCTAGAGGCTGTGCCACACAAGACAAAAAATCCACTTTTTTCAGCAACTTTTCCTTTTATGCTTCATCCCTTCAAAAAAGGCATTAGAGTCATTCTGAAACTCAGCTTCTCCATGAATAACTTAGCCAGCTCTCAAATGCCAAAATCACACAGATCTGCTGTGAAGGCTCCAGGTCAAATCTTTTGTCTGGTGGTTAAGCCTTGGCATGGGCTGAGCAGGCTCACAGCCAAAGTCCCCATCCTGCAGGACCGTAATGGCTGTCCTGAACCAGAGTATTTCCTAATCATACTTAGTTCAGACAAAACTCCATCACACTCGTAACCCTGCTGCTCTGCTTCTCACAGGTAATGATTTAAAGTGCTTGAAATCACATTTTCCCTGCTATTGCACTCAGCTGCAGGCACTGAGAGAAAGTGCCTGTAAATAACAGTGTCACAACAGCTGAATCCTTGTTCCTTTGTACTAAAATGCACACTAATTTGTTCTGAGGATCTGCTATTTTAAAACACCTTTCCTACAGTCATTCTCATCCTAAAAGGACTTTCATGAAGACTTGTTGGACATTTTCTTTTGAGGTAGGAGAAGGAATTCAAAGCGGGCCATTAATATTTCAGCATCACCCAATATCTGAACACATCACACTATCTGAGCATGGGCTTAACACACAAGATCTGAAAACAGTTTGAACACTCAGATTTGTAGCGCGAGTATGTGGAGCAGCAACACAGCTGCTTAGAGACTCGTCTGTGCAGGTGTAGCTGCCAGCCAGCACTGGCTCAGCCCTTCAGAAACACTGGGCCACTACCTAGGGGTCCAGTCCCTTAACATCAACTCCAGCGCAAGAAAATTTCCTAACCATTCATATACAAGCAATTCCAAACAGTTTGACTACCAACCTGTAACTACCAGAGTAAATTACCAGGCTATCATAGCCATAGGCATTTTTTTCTTGGTTCTGATGGACACAGCATTGATTGGCAGGGCTCCACACACCAGTTCACGCATTAAATGCATGCAAAATGAACGTTAGCATTTTAAAATTCCTTGCAAGTACATGTGTGGGTTTAAAAAATTAAAGGCTATACAGAGTGAATGCAAATTTAGCATTTCCAGAAGTAAAAAGAATTCAAATGCCATGCAACATCTTTATACATGTACTCAATGTCTCCGTGTTTAAAGGCAGTGTAAGTACGTTGTCACGATGAAGAGAGGGTTGCATTCAAAGTCCTTAAAGTGAGTTAAAAATCAGAGAGAAGTGTTTTAAAGGAGGCATAGGTCTGAGATTGGAAATACAGGATCATTACAGATGCATCATATTTCAGTTTGTTTAGAAAAGAAAAAAAAAACAGGTTTGTACAAAAAAAAATGGTTTTATGCAAGAAAAGTACCCGGATGTATTTCAAGAAGGTCTGTGTTGCAATTTGACTTTTCTAGTAAACTTGAAAGAACACCTGTTTGCACAGCTGTGGGATACCTGCTCTCTGTATTGGAAAGAATCACACAGCCAGGCTCCTGCATGAACCCTGGCTGTTTGCACACCACGCAGGTACCACACCTAACCAAGGTCAGGGTAATAGCACATCTGTGGCACTGGCACTATCACAACCTCGAGAAGATTTCAAGAGCTTTGGTCCTTATGCAAAGACAGACAAAGTCACGTAAATATATTGGAACAGATACTCATAAGACTCATGCTAGAAGGAATTGAGGCTTTTGGGACTGTGCTTGTCTCCTTACCTCAGGAAGGAAAGGCTGATTCCTTTTTTTTTTTTTTTGTAGTTTCTACTGCAGGACTAAGCAAGTTTTATCTGCAAAGTGGTTGCAGTGCAAACCTTCTTTTAAATCTGTGACTAACATGAATCTGGCCTTGTTCATCCATGAATGTTTCAGCAATAGGAAATTATTACTCATGACAACTCTATTATGATAGTCACACTTTACAACCTGAGGAATTCTCAGCAAGGACAGGGAATGATTTGCCCAGCGTAACCGAAAGGGACAGGTGCCAAAACGAAGGTGGGAAAACCAAGCTCCTGCCGACCAGTGCTACGAGCAAACTGCTGAATGTATCTCCCAAGGGAGTCTGTCAATCCCCTCCAGAATATTCCTGCTCATGTCAACACACCCCAACAGATGCTCAATGAAATGAACTGAAAAATGTGCTCTGAACCCATGAGCTGACAAAAGCACAGTTAAACTTACTCCACACAGTACATGTTAAAAAAATGGGCACACCTGTTACTTTCTCATTTATATCTGTTAAAAAGAAATAGTAACTGAGAGATTAAGCCCTCCCTCCATGATACCATGTAATACAAGATTATGAAATAGCAGAAGGTATAAAAGTTAGAAAAGCCTAACCTCCCCAGCTGCCATCAAAATGCAGGCGCTCAGACAGTTCCTCCTCCTGCCTCTCGTAGCAGCTCTAGCTTTTGCTGAAGACAACTCAATAGAATCCACAGGTATGGAAAACTAGTCTTTTTTTCATTTGTGAAATTTTATCAATTTTTGCACAATATGTATTTTACAGGCAACTGAAGGGAAGAATGTTAAACACATCTCTAAAAGTGCATCTCATTTTAATGTACTGCTGCACAATAGCAACACCTGAATGTGCCAGCGTTAAAAATGGTAAATAACCAAAAAAATTTGCAATATATGACTCCCTATGGCAAATTTTTAACTTCACTTGATTCTGAAGATATTTTACACTGGAATGGAAACTTGCATTTATAAATTAATACTGCATTGGAATAAAGTGACTTAATTGGGAAACGGTTGCTTTTTAAGAGAGATTTGCTCATTTGTCCTTTTTTCAACCAGAAGCAATAGACAGTCATTTGTTGCTCGATTTGGGATTACCGTTCTGTGCTCAAATCAGCAATTTACCTGATTAATGGCGGGTAGCTACCGTAGGATAATGAAGGATTGCTGCAGAGCTGCTCTAGTGGTGCCTGGCTACAGGAACAGTCCAGAGGGATGCAGAGGGAGGGTAGGGCAAAGCTGACCTTGTAATGCTCTTACGATTGGGAAGTTTCATATGTGACAAGAAAGGTCTCTCCTAAACCTTTCCTTCCCCTCTGCAGTTCATCAGAAAGCCTGACGTTTTTATCTGGGACTGCATACACTATATAGGAAATTCTTCCTGCTGTTTTAGACCATTATTTTTAGATGACTATTAAAGTAGTAAGGAGATCTTACGCTCAAACTGGATTATAAACTTTTTCTAAAGTTTCCTATACAATAGCCATTACCGCAACTATTTCATAACTTATTAACATTCATTAAGTGACGTTAGTGATGTCACCATGGCTGGTTTGTGTTTTTTCAAAAGAGAGCTGAGTCAGAGTCCAGCTAGCCCCGCATCCTAAACCCTAAAACTGTTTACTGTTACTAACAGTAAACAGAGGATGCTCAGGCAAGAATACTTCCCCAGAATACTCTCCCAGTCACCAACAAACGTGGTTCAGGATTTCTGAAACAGAGAGGAAGTGCTACCTTTGTGTTTAATAGTTACCAAAGGCTTTTTCTTTCATGGACTTGACCCGTTTCATGTTTTACTTTTACCATCCACATCACCCTGCAGCAAAGATCCACATGCAAAGAGCCAGCTCCTTTTGTTTGTTTCAAAACCACAACTTAGGGGTTTCATTCCAGGCCACCGAGTTACTGTATTGGACTATCTCATATTAACCCTCTTCATGAATTTACAGACCTCTAGCACCTCCTTTCCCCCCTAGTTATCTCTTTTCTGACCTGAAATGCTTCAGTCTATTTACTTATTCCTTGTCTGGAAGCTATTCGAAACTTTTGATCATCGTTGCCATTCTCTGAAGCTTTTCCTGTTTAGCAGTACCCTTTTAGAGATGGAGGATCAGAATTGTATGCAGCAGTAAATATACAGTAATCCCACACATAGTCCTTTAGAAGCTCAACTCTGAAAAGCCTTTTTGATGCCCTGACTGTAGGTTCCCAAATGCTTTTACGTCAAGGGCTGAACCTCAGAACTGGATTCAATGATCTTTAGGAACTCAGTGTAGGGGGAAGACAGGAGGCTTGAGGTGCTTGTGGTGACTAACCTTGCAGAAGAGAGCTGCTGAGGCATCCTATATCACTTTGTAGTTCCAGTTTTGCCATTGGCCTCACCTGATATGTGTTGCCCTAACTCCCCTTTTCTCTGCTACTAGGAAAACGAGGATAAACGGTATTTTCTAATACTCTTTTACTATTTGATTCTTTCATAAACTGCAGTAATATAAATGAAAAAAAGTACATTTTGCATGTCTGTTCCGCAATGGACTGTCCCAGAGTTTTTGCATACTGGAGGATGAAACATTATTGCAAGAGAAAATTTGAGACATATCCTTGAAAGCTGGTTTTTGTTCTTGCTGTTCTTCAGTAGGTGTACCTCGTTGTGGCACTTCACTTCATGAGCTCAACAAAGCATTAAGGATTGAACTAAATGCAAATGCAAACTGTGTCTGGCAAATTCAGAGGAACGTAAATCAAACAATTAGGCTCATTTTCTCCTATTTTAAGTAAGTATTTCCTCCAGATACTTTTGTACTGTTTCATTCCCTTAGAATACAGCACAGAAAAATATTGCCTCCGAATATTTCTCTGTACTGAATCTGTGTTGTGGACTCCAAAAAGCCGGTATATCTATCAGTGAGCTTAGGTAGTTCTCACTGTGTTTTTTCAATAGATTTGCTCCTTCTTCAAGCTGTAAAACAGAAAGTATTACAATATATGATGGTCCCTCAACTAAGTCGCCTGTTCTTGGACAAGTATGTAATGACACTGATGCAGTTCCAGTACTTCAATCATCATCAGACAGTTTAACTTTTCTCATAACAACAAACTCCGTGGCTTTCACACGAAGCTTCTTTGTCTTCTACTACTTCTTTTCACCAGAAAAAAGTAAGTCAGAACTTAATGCAGCCATTAAATACCATTTGAATTGCACCATTAAAAGAAACTTTCCCATTAAGGGAAAGTTTAGGAGAGCAATTAGAAACTATTAACAGAATCTTTAATTAGTCTCACTCAGTTCTTCAGCCCTTAGAGAATGGTGTGGGGGAAAATCAGTGGAAGGAAGGAGGCAGCAAAACAATAGTGCACTTGCTGGAAAGCCTAAAAAGTGCAGTTTTACTCAGAAAAATGATTGCAAAGGAGGCATTACGGGACTCTACTTTTACTTACAGGCTTCTACTGAATTTGCTGAGTTTGCAAATATTATAGCATTTACCCAGAAAGAGAACATGACCATCTAGTCCTGCCGAGTACAGGTCACTGAAGTCAGTAAGGGGTTTTATTCAACAAGCTCCTTTTTTTTTTTGTTAAAATGTAAGAATAGCTTGGACAAAATCAGTCTTGGCTTGTGTCTAGTCCCTTTGCTTCTGCTGATCAGAGTGGCATGGTATTAAGCTCTTAAAAGCTTCAATTTTACAGAGTAGTTACCACATCCTAGTCATGCTGCTCCAGTGTTTAACTTTGCTGCTGAAAAATTGTGCCCTATTTCTACTCTACATTTGTATTTCTGAGGTTTCCACTGACAATTTTATTTTGCCCTTGTCTATCAAGTAAAATATCTCTTAAACTTGAAGATTCCACACTTCCATATAGATCATGACCGAGGCCTCATAGATTTCTCTAACGTAAAGTCTCTCGGGGCTTCTTTTGGCTGGCATAGCATCTTCATTACTAGTTTTTCAAGATGGCACCTAATTTACCTGAAATGTAGATTAACTAAATTGCTTACAGTATCAAAGCTAACTCATCTACAGCCATCTCAGATGCCATTACACTGTACCTTGCAGATATACCATAGTGACAATAAGCTTCATTTTGTAACATCCACCTGACCTGAAATTCTCTATAGAAGTTCTATCTTTAGTACCTTTAATAATTTCCAAAAGAATGGAATCCTAAAGAAACAATCCTGCGTTACATTAACTTTATATCTTTAATTTATTTTTTATGGCTCATTATAGATACTATTATGTTCCCAATATATCTACTCTTCTTTTCAGAAATTGAAAATTGTGGGGGACAATTAACTGGTCCCAATGGGACGTTTACCAGCCCCAACTACCCAAAACCTTACCCTGAATTTACATACTGCGTCTGGCACATACAAACAGCAAAAAACTCGAAGATAAACTTACGGTTCCAGGATTTTTTGTGAGTAAATGCCCTAATGCTCTATTACTCCTTTTTCATTCAGTTTAAAGGCATTACTTCAAACACAGGAAGCAGACGTGCTTTCAAACTTTTAGAACATCTATACACTTTTAAAACAAATGTGCTTTGCTGACTCCTGTAGTAAATTCCAATGCGTTCCACATCACTACACATTACCCTATAGCTACTGCAGTGCCAGTCAGTGAAACGCAGAAAGCATTTCAGGTGACTAGCCATGACATGTAGGTCCATTTTAAGCTAACCTGAATGATCTGAATTTAAATCCATCAGTATAAATAAAGTTTTCGCTACATAAGGAACGTATTTAAAACCATCATGTCCACTGCAATTGCAATTTAGAACTGAGGGCCAAAAGAATAAAGCAAATATTGCCCAAAGTACGCCTTCCTCAGTACTGCTGGCCATTGGACAAAGAAGATAGCGTAGCACTGGCTTAAATACGTCCAAGTATAAACGCTAATGGATGCATCGGCATAAGGAAACCACACTGGCTGGCATGGACTTTCCTGACTCATACTGCTCTTTATCAGGTTGGTCTCCCATATGTAGTGGGCTGGTAGCCCTTTTTTAGC